ACGCGGTTTCCGTGTTTAGACGCGGTTTTTTAATTAATTTCTTTTTGCCCTTAATTGTCAGTTTTTTTGATTTTTTAAAGTTGTTTCCTAGGTTTCCAAGCGTGTAGAATTTAATGGTAAAAACCATTTTCCGTGAAAATGAATTTTGATTATTAATTTTTTTTTTCCACTTATTTTTCCATTAATTGTATGCATACATGTTTTTACCTTATTTTTTATGTTTTTTTGAAATTTTAAATTTATTTCCTAGGTTTCACTGTGTGTAGAATTTAATGGTGTACTCCAAATTTTTTAAAACTCAACGGTTAATTTTCAATACTGAAATTAGACACATTTTTTCACTTAAATTTCTACAGCTTAATTTTCATTATTTTTTGATGTTTTAAATTTATTTCCAACACTTTAAGACATGTAGAAAATGATGGTATCAACCATTTTTCCCCAAAATGAAAACTATACCTTGAATGCCGCATTTGACATTTTTTTTTAATTGAATTCTTCACTTTTTCACTCAATTGTTTGCATACACGTGTGTACCTTATTTTTTATGCTTTTTTGAAATTTTAAAGCTTTTTCCTACATTTAAAAGTGTTTAGAATTTAATGGTAACATCCAATTTTCTTAAAACTCAACAGTTCATTTTTAATACTGAAACTAGACACTTTTTTCAATTAATTCTTTACATGTTATTTCTCAATATTTTTTGACATTTTAAGTTTATTTCCCACACTTTAATACATGATCAAAATGATGGTAACAACCATTTTTTCATAAAAATCAGCGCTTGTTACTGAATACTGCAGTGGACAGGCTTTTTTTAATGTTTTTTTGATTGATTTTTACCGGCCCGATTTTAAGCATTTTTTTTAATTTTAAATTTATTTCCTACATTTACAAATGTTTAGAATTGAATGGTGAAGTCCAATTTCACTCAAAATACAAGCTTCAATCTTAATAGATGAGTGTACCCCGTTTCTTGCATAATTTGTACCATATACAAATTTTATTTGAATGCAAAATGGATACAGCCATCAATTTTGAAACCTTTCAAAGTTTAGGAAATGAGCTTTAAATTCCAAAAAATAAGGATAATTGAGCGTGTAAGAATGAATTTGGGAAACACGTCAAAGGCATTATTCAAGACATAGTTTTCATTTTCATGAAAATCCATAGTTACCATAATTTTATACATGTTTGAAAGTGTAGGAAAAGAATTTAACATGTCAAAAAATAATGAAAAATAAGCTGTCAAAAATCAATTGAAAAATACGTCTCATTACAGTATTCAGTATGAACCATTTAGTTTTATGGAAATTGAATGTTACCATTAAATTCTACACACTTTTTAATGTAGGAAACAAATTTAAAATTTCAAAAAAGCATAAAAAATAAGGTACACACATGTATGCAAACAATTAAGTGAAAAAGTGATGAATTAATTAAAAAAACATGTCAAATGCAGCATTCAACGTATAGTTTTCAACTTGGGGAAAAATGGTTGTTACCATAATTTTCTACATGTCTTAAAGTGTAGGAAATAAATTTAAAATGTCAAAAAAGGATGAAAATTAAGTGAAAAAATGGGTGTAATTTGAGTATTAAAAGTGAACCGTTGAGTTTTAAAAAAATTGGATTGCGCCATTAAATTCTACGCATATTAAAACCTAGGAAATAAATTTAAAATTTCAAAAAAACATAAAAAATAAGGTAAAAACATGTATGCATACAATTAATGGAAAAAATGAGTAGAAAAAAAAAAATTAATAATTAAAACTCATTTTTATGGAAAATGGTTTTTACCATTAAATTCTACGCGCTTTGAAACCTAGGAAACAATTTTAAAAAATCAAAAAAACTCGAAAAATAAGCCGTAAAAAATTAATTAAAAAACCGCGTCTAAACGCGGAAACCGTGTGTGCTGTGGCGCATCCATCAAAACCGCGTCAAAACGCGGAAAAACCGCGTTTTTTTATTAAGGCCCTTGAATAAAAGATGATTTTGAATAAAAACTGAGAGAAGGAAAAATATGAGTTCATGGAAGAAATAACCGGACAAGTCTCCTCAGTCTCTTTTAGACAAGCTAGTAAAATTAATCATGACAAAACATACTCTCCATCACAAATGTTTAGAGTCGTTAATTCTAGACAATCAGATTTTAATGAATCAAATAATGAACTAGAAAAAGAAAGAAATCAATCAATAAGACTAGAGTTGTTAGATGAAAATTGCCATGAGGAGTTCTAATTAGACTACAAGTGAGCATAAGATTCAACACAAAAAACAGCTATGATTGACTTTAGTTCAGTCTAGGTCAAGATGATTTAAGAAAGGGAAAAGGTGGAAAAATTTGGGAAAAGAGGGAGTGATTAGGGGAAGAGTAGCCAGAGAAGTTGAAAACTCAACAAAAACATTATCCTATTCCTTTCACTCCACATTGCCCTTCTTCTTCTCCTTTATCTTTCTCTTTTGATCTTCCTTGAGACCTTCCTTCCACTTGTACAGAGTACTAGTTTGTATAAAGTTGTTTTTCAATTAGAATGCCACAGACATGCCCCTGCTAACAGATTGGGAGTTGAGGCGGTGTGGTGTTCTAAACGGTACAGGCCCCCTCAAGGTCAAATTTCAATTTTCAATTTTCAACTTTTCAATATCCTCAAGCCTCAAGATTTCAACAATATCACATCAAATCCCCTCTCAGTCCAACAGTTTCCTTCATTATATCATTTTACAATGTTTTTGTTTCCTTTTATTATTTCATTTCCTCTGATTATTTTATCTTCATATTAATTTTTATCCATCTTGATTTTATTTTTATTTCATCATTTTATCATTCTTTATTATCTTTTTCAAATCACCTATTCAGCAGACAGTCTTGTTTAATTTTCTTGGTCCTAAGACATCTTAGTATGTTGGTTTATTTCACTATTGATTATTTTGTTTTGTTTTGTTCTGTTCTGTTCTGTTCTGTGTTGTGTTGTGTTGTGCTGTGTTGTGCTGTGTTGTGTTGTGTAGTGTAGTGCAGTGCAGTGTAGTGTAGTGTAGTGTAGTGTAGTGTAGTGTAGTGTTGTGTAGTGTGGTCTTGTTTTTGTTTTTTGGTTGAGTGGTGTTGTAGTTAGGGATGTGATGTCACTCCCCCAGAGTCAAAGTTCAGTTTGAACTGAGATGATGGGGAAGCATGGCACTCTGATCTGATCCAAGATAGACCCATCAAATCTTATTGATCTTCCTTCTTGATTCATCTGATCCTCATACCCACCAATCCTCAAGCTCAACAACCACCACAGAAATCAACTTCTGTTGTCCCCTCTCAGAAAACCAACCAACCCCAATGTGTTTTGTTCAGATCACAGCTCAACTTCCCCAGACCCCACTTAAAGGCAGCCCTCAAAGCACCATCCCTTCAACCAACTGCCTACCGCCTGGCACAATAGGAGTTCCACAGCGGTGTCTCTTTGCCAATACATAGTCTTGTCCAAAGGAAAACACATGTTCTACATCAGCTGAGGTGGCTAGCTCACAAAAAAGTCATAATCAGCTATTGTCCTGAATGTCAAATTTAAGATCACAGAAAACATACTGGGGCAACTCAAGACATCAAGTGCCATTTTTGATAGGCCCCCATTAGTGTTACCTGCAGGTTTCTGGTTCATCCACCACTTTAGAGTGTTGATAGGCGCACTGTCGTCAAGAATAAGACTGGAAGCAAGCCACGTGTCAAGGGGATCCATTGAAGATTGGCCTGATCAGGCAGCCAAAGCAGCACCTAGTTGTGCAATGGTTCCAGTCCTTGGCTGCAGTGATGAAGGATTGTTAGCTCAGAAGAAGAAAATCAGCCACAACCGGTCTCAAATGTAAATTCACCCTGCTTGGTTTGCTTGGTTGGCTAGAGGAAGGAGGGTCAATTTGAGGCTTGTAAAATGTATTGAACATTTCACGAGTGAGCCTAAGTGCTTCAACAATCCATTCGTTTTCCCAGCCTGCTATCTTGAAGTACTCATCCTTGAATGATGGGTGAAGTACTATTAAAACAAATCAATAGGTCAGTGGCAAGGTTCAAATGTTTGGATTAGTTCAACACATTGCAAGCAACATACCCATGGCAATCCAAAACAAAGGGGAGCAATTGGTGAGTGTATAATATTTGTTTGTTAGCTTGAGTCCCACTCAGCAAGCATTCCAGAGGGCCGGTGGGTAATTGTTGTCTTCTCCTTTGATTGCATTCAAGAGAAGATCAGTGATCTCATCAATGTCAACAATAATGTGAGATAACCAAGCTGATCCCCATATAGATATCTGGAGGGTTTGTTTGTAGAAAAGCTGGAGAATTGATACAAGTTGACGTGCCAACCCAATGTCCGCAGCATCAATATGATACCTCCAAGGAAGGCTGTATTTTTTGTCCTTCTGCCAGGTCAGACTGCATTTCCAAAGCTGATCAGTGTTTGGGTGAATGTGAAATCAGGGAAGGGGAATGTACATGGCTTTCTCTCATTGGATGATGCTTTTAATCTGGGCCCAGGTTGAATTCCACCGTGTCTGAACATCTCTCTCATGAATGGAGTGAGGCCGTTCACATTCCAAGTCTTTGCAGAGTTCTACAAACTCTGCCTTCAAATTAGGTGATTTTCAAAGCTTGTGAGAAATCACACTGAACTACCACAGGATGACACTACAAACAATACCAGTTTTGCCCCAGGAAAAAATGCCAATTTGCATGGTGGAAAATAGGTCAATTTCCTGAGGCTTTTTTTTACAAAATGACTCAGGAGTAAAAATTAGGCTAAAATGAGCTATTTTAGCCAAAAATTAAAAATGCCTCAGATGAGCTAAAAATTAACCCCCCCACCCATGGATTGGTTGCCCAACTTGAAGTTGCTCCTTATGATTTTTTTTTCTTTGCCCCAAGTCCCCCTCTGCAAATAGTGGATTGGTTGCTGCAAGCATGTACCCACTTATAACCTAGCACTAACAACAGCCAAGGAGTATCTGGACATCATGAGGCGGAACAAATCCCCCACAGTTTCCTTTTTTGACAAGCGGTTGAATTAGATTACACTAGGAACAAACAATGATGATATGTAAACATTACAGAAGGGATAGTGAAAGCAAAATAGACTGTGTATGTCCAACCAACGATCTAATTCCACATACTTTTGATTGAAAAAAGAGAATGAATGTCAAGCATTGCACTTTTCTTAGAGGTTATGCAAAGGAGGAATGCGTAGTAATCAAGACAATAATACACAAATATATAACCACATTTCAGCTAGAACGCATGATTGCTTCTACGCCTTTTTGGCGAGCGTGGAAGGTTTGCGCTCTCAGCTGGGTCAACGTGACAATACAGTCTCGCACCCCAATCCAAACGAGAAGCGGATCCTTCGGAGGGATGTGTTTCGGACTATCATCGATGATGATGATGCTTGAAGACCTTTTCGACTGGTTTTCCGGATCGGAGGTGTCACCAACATCGATGGCCTTCTTCCGTTTCTTTGATTGATGGCAGCCGTCAGAATGATCATGGTCTTCAAGCTGATCAAGTGCTTGCTCATATTTGCGGAGGTGTCGAGCCAAGGCTCTCGCCTCTGAATATCGTTGACGTTCGATATTTTGGAGAATAGCCGCCCAGGCTGACGGCGTTTGTCTTTCACAAGAAAGATCCAAGCCATTTGAACGAGGTCTGGATTCAGGTGAGTTTGCTGAAACAGGTTGTGCGGGGCTGCTGTGAAGATCCTGAAATGGCGAAGTGCCTTCATTTGTTGAAGTAGATGCAATCGGAATACGAGAAATCGGTGTGGGATTTGACGGAGTCACTGGTATGTCACTTGATGAATGCTGAGGACTCTTCGCTTCTTCAGGTGTACGACTTGCTTCTTCAGGTGCACAATCTGCGTCTCCGAGCGTATGATTTACTTGTTCAGGTGTAGGACTTGTTTGTTCAGGTGTCCAATTTATTTCTTCAAGTTGACGTGTTGCTTCATTGGGTGTTTCCTCTCTGATAGATTCTGCCATTTCAGACGATTCAAGTGGATCGCTTTCGTAGATTTCAGAAGATCGATTACGTTGAGTTTCTTGATCAGTTTCAGAAGGCTCAGGGACCGTTTCCGAGTCAGAACTATCGTCCTCATCGGAAGATTGAATTTCGATGATTTCAGGAGAATCTTTTCGATTTGAATTTTCGTGGGCGGGAGGACCGCCTAAGAACTTGGCTGCCTCATCCTTCTCATTCGGATTAATCGTCGGGAAGCTTTGTTTCCACATCGATTGAACTTTGGCCGATTGGAATTCGAGTTCTTCGAATTTTTGAAACACTTCTTCCAATTTCTGGAAATGGATGCCTTTCCAATCAAACAGATCAACAGAGGGCCTGGCTTTCTTGCGCACTTGGCTATGACGTTTCTCGTAATCCTTGACGAATTGAATAGCTTGCTCTTGGATTTTTTGAGCGGCATCAGAAGAAAGTAAAGATCCAAACAACTTTGGGATTGCGTAAAACTCGACAAATCCGGTGTCCGCGGAGGTTGTATTGGGGAAGATACATTGGGGTCGAAATGCCGATATAAAGTTGAGGATCTCTTTGAACGACGAATGTCGGGTTAAAGGGCAAAACTGCACGATGAAACAATCACCGATCATCGGCAAGAATCATAATCAATGATCCACTTCATCAGTCAAGATATTACAGATGTGTAAGTCACCAGTAATTGTGGCCACAGGTCATGTTCTGTTTGTGGGTTCTCCGAGGTATATCGAGCAGCAGTCGCAAGTTTGACATCCAGAGCTGCTTTGTATAAATTCCATTTCTGAGTCGTGATTTCGGAAGGGTTGACACACACCACCAGAGGTTCTTTCGATCTGGTGCTTCCGATTTTGATCCCAGAATCAAGGGACTGAGACTGCTGCCATTCTCTACTTTTATCAAGAACTTTCTGGCATCGGTCAGTCCTTTCACAAGCATGGAACCTGGTCTCATCCGGATCCAGGGTTAAACGAGCTAGCAAGAGAGGAAATTGTTTCCTGAAGTCAGACAGCTTATAGATTGAGTACTTGTAGTCATCTACATGGATCTAATTCCAATTGTTAATTGCGAAGTCAGCGAAATATTGTTTTGGCAAGCTAGACGGCAGATTTCCTAAATGAGTATAGACCCACAGAAGTTTTGAAGTGAACAGCGATCCGTTGAAGCAACTCCTCGTAACCCCAAGTCCATGAATTAATGAAGAAATTGGTATCCTTTGGATAGGCGGACATCATTTGAATCGTCAATTTGATCGCTTCATCCTGAGAAAAAAAATGAGGTTGGAAACGAAGGGTGAATCAGTTATCCGATTGCTGCGAATACATCTGAGAAGATGTGTATATATGTACCTTTGTCAAGACATCGAGTTTGGTGAGTAAACTTGAAGTATCCAAATAGATGTTATTCAGCTGGAGAAAGGGGCGCGTGGTTTCCTCCTCGGACGAAGGGATTGTTTTGGGCGAGTGTTTATCTTGAGGAGGTTTTACGAGTCGATGGTTGATCCCTTGAGGAGGAACGACGAAGGGTGCGAGTTGAGGTTCTTTGGTCAACGACTCCACCCACCAAGGCTCCGCACGAATATCGCCAGTGTAAAGGACGTTACGGTTCCACATTTGGATCAAAAACATCGCCGAGCCTGGACAGTGGTTAGCTGGAATGAGTGTTACGCGGCATATCCCCCCCTTTGAATTGATCACTGGAATCTCCTCGGGATCGTAGGGTTTCATAGTTTTCAGAAGGGGTTTTTCACTGGAATCCTTCGGTAGTAAGTTTCTATAAGTCTGGTCCATTTTTCCATTGCCTATGCCATTGGCTTCGTTAACTCGAGCTTGAACCGGGCGAATGTTCAAGACGATGGCTTTGGTGACCTCCGAACACCAGATCGTTGCGCCGGCAAACGTCTCGAGGCCGACCATATGATCCGAGTGAGCATGCGACAAGAGATAAACCAATGATGCGCGGCATCCCGTCGGAAGCCAGCCGGATTGTTGGAAGTTATCCACACGAACAAGGCCGTCGAATTCACGGACTGTGAAGCAATCGTGGTTTAGCTATACATATCTTCTTTCTTTTCCATGCCTCGGTTGACTTTGAGAGAGGGAAGACTGACTGAAGCCATCGAATGTCGACATGGTTGATCGAAGGTGGTAAGATGTCCATTGTCGGCCTGAAGAGATCGGGGCTGCCGAGAGCGGACACGAGGTGTCTCGCGCGGCCCGACACGCGGTCATTCGTGCGCGGCGCAACCGAAGTGCCGACGTCGGGTGGCGCCGCCAGACCAGGCCTCGGGGAGCACCTGGCGCACATGTGTGGCGGGAAGTTAGGGTTATCGTGAGACTGCGGCGCATCCGGTGGTGCCGTTTCTCCCTTGCAGGCTGCTTGGCCGGCCACCCCATCACACCGCGTGCCGCCTGCCCGTCTCCCTCCTTCATCAAGATGTCGACTTCACAGAGTGTCCAAACCTTCGGAAAGAAGAAGACCGCTACCGCCGTTGCCTTCTGCAAGGTAAGGAAACTCACCCGCTTCAAGCCTCGGATCAGGATACCACAATCTGACTGCCTAACGATGCTTTTTCTAGGATGGCAAAGGTCTCATCCGAATCAACGGAACCCCCATCGCCCTCGTCCAACCTGAAATCCTCCGTTACAAGGTCTACGAGCCCATCCTGATCGCTGGTGCCGATGTATGTTGTCCTTGGGTCGTCCAGTTCAAAATCTTGTCAACCTTCTCAAACTTACAATCACATATTCATATAAACTTCGGCCCTCTATTGATCTTTCAAGGCATTCTCCAAGCTTGACATTCGGGTCCGAGTCACCGGTGGTGGTCACACTTCGCAAGTTTACGCCATCCGACAAGCCTTGGCCAAGGCCGTCGTAGCTTTCTATGCCAAGTACTACGGTAAGACCACCCTCTTGGTCTAGATTGATGATATCGTCCATTCTCACAGTATATGCCAACTCACATATTTCGTGACGAATTTCGCTTCATCAGACGCTGCCTCCGCCCTCGCTCTCCGAAAGGTGCTCATTCAGTACGACCGAACTCTCCTCGTCGCTGACCCCCGACGGATGGAACCCAAGAAATTCGGTGGGAAGGGTGCCCGTGCTCGCTTCCAGAAATCGTTGAGTTCCTTCCATCACCCTCCCTTGCATCCACTTTTATCTTCATCTCCGCTCTTCTCTCGACAAGTCCTGACAACAACTTGTCTTGTCGTTCAATTATTCCAGCTACCGTTAAGCCTGCTCGGATCATGTTGCTACTTTTTATGTCTACATTTACATATGTGCCATGCAATCAATCCCCTGGCCGTCTAAGCCTTTCTTCAAATGAATGAATACATGTCTTAGTTGAACTGCTTCCCCAAAATGTAAGAGTGTCCAGTTGTCGGTGTCCGGAAGGAAAAAAAACCCTTTGCAATGAAGAGGGGTATGATAGTACTTTGCTTTCTTTGCTCATCTCTTCCTCTGGTGTGTGCAATCAGATCAATGATGACAATCAGAGGAGTGAAAACAATGGGGGCAGCTGAAACATGAGACAGGTGTTGTGGAGTCTGGACTGCTCAGCTCATTGCCTGACGTGAGTGGATGGCCTGGATGCTACCTTTGGCATCCGGGGGTCTCCGAACGGTGACTGCTCTCCTCCGGGGGAGGCTGCAGCCTATTAGAGAGCCGTCGGGGGGACACCCCGGCCATATGAGCTGGGAGTGGGCCAGATATCCAACGACACAGCACCGAAGCACTGGACGGTAACGAGAATGGCAGTCGATGGCGAGCTGGTTCTGTTTCCCGACTCACTTGAGCAAGTTTACACCCAAGCCTCGGTCAACAAGCAATCCAAGAGATGGTCCCAGCTTACCGAAACATTCAAGAAGTCTTACGCCCATCCACCTCAGTTTGTTGCTCGAGCACCCGGGCGAGTTAACATCATTGGAGTGAGTCGCACTCGATTACAGAGTGTCTCGAGAAATATGTGTCGGAGCAGATTGACTGATGGGAAGAGAATAAAAAAAACAACACCATTGGGTGTAATTAGGAACACATCGATTATTGTGGATTCTCCGTCTTGCCGTCTGCTATCGAGCCTGATCTCCTGATTGCGACATCGGTGGAATATGCGGATGAGGCTTCTTCAGATTTCGTCTCGAGTGATCGGACTATCCAAGTTCAAGCCATCAATGTTAACCGTTCATATCCCGAGGTTTCCTTCGACTATCAACTATCTGGAAAGATTCCGATCGACAATGGGGGATGGTCAGATTACTTGAAGGTAATCAATTACAATGATGGCTCTTATCATGCAACGGCTTATATCGTTCTAATAAGCTAACTTGGTCCTTCTATACAAAAAAAATAAAAATCGGCAGTCTGCTTTTAATACGACTCTGGATCATTTGAGGAGCTCGTCATCACATGGAGGAAAAGTCCGGCAACCCACTTCGATCAAATTTCTCATCGATGGCACGGTTCCAGCTGGGTCGGGTCTATCATCTTCTGCGGCCATCTCCACCGCATCAGTCCTTGCGGTTCTCTATATCCATCAATCGGCCAATCAGCACATCCCCAAGACTCTGGCTGCGTCGCTTGCAATCGCATCAGAACAAGCTTGTGGGGTCAGCATCGGCGGAATGGACCAAACCGCATCGGTCTTCGGACAACCCGCCAAGCTACTCCACATGTATGTCTTTGACATATTACCAACCAAAACAAGAAAAAAAAACTTTCTCTTTCTGAAAAGCTTGGATTCAATTCCTGATCAACCTTGCTTCTTTTTGCCAGTGAATTCACACCAACGATCAAGGTTGTTCCTCTTGAACTACCCGGTCTACCATCGACTACATTCATAATTGCCAATAGTCTAGTGACCTCCAACAAACTAGATTCCGCGAAGGAACAATACAATTTACGAGTAGTCGAGTGTCGGATCGCCAACCGGATCCTTTCGGATAAATTGTTGAAAGGGAAACAGCCATACCCGAAGGACTTGAAAGAGCTCGTCGAGCTTTATTCACCCAAACAGTCCATCCCTCATGCTATTCAACTGGTCCTAGATAATCTTTCAGATGCTCAACTCCTAGGTGGTGATGAGGGCCTCACTCAGGACGCCGTCCTCGAAAACTTAGGGATCAACCAAACTCAATTCGAAGCTGAGATCTTGAACGGAATGGTTGTCGAACCTCGAGGCGGAATCTTCAAGCCATACAATCGAGCACGTCATGTGGTAAGTTAAATAATTTGCGTTGCAAAAGATTTGTTCGATTGAAGAAAACTAAATTGGCTAATGATGATCCGTATACACATATGTAACTGAAAAATAAAACAAGTTAACTGAAGCCCTACGGGTGTACAGGTTTAGAGAGCTACTGGAGAAGACTGTCGACTCGGGTAACCGTGAAGAAGTGATCTTAAGCATCGGTCAACTGATGAATGAATCCCAAAAAAGCTGTCGGGAGGATTACGAGTGCTCCTGCGAAGCGCTGGATGAACTGATATCGATTGCTCAAACAAACGGGAGTCTTGGAAGCCGTTTGACAGGTAAATTATCCCCTTGTTTTTTTCAGGCACTATGATCATGGGAACAAAAAAAAAAACAAGATAGGACAAAGATTGAAGCTTGTTTGCCCATCAATCTAGGTGCCGGATGGGGCGGCTCCTCGGTCCATCTAGTCCGAGATCCCGACATCTCGAAAATCATCGAGGCCTTGAAGTCCAAGTATTATTGCATCAAGTTCCCTAACCTATCGACGCAAGAGCTGGCCGATGCTTGTTTCGCCACCAAGCCCGAGGGTGGGGCTTGTCTGTTCACCAACCTGAAGCAGGCGGAGGATCCTGAATACGATTTCGAGGCCGACATGGCTTTGTTAAAACAGGAAATCCTGGCCTCCCACCATCCCTCAGCCTTGAAAGGTCTGATGAAGAAGTTACGACAGGTCCGATCTAACACCCGTCTAGTCCCCATCGCCAAATAGGTCGATACCATCCGCAAGACTCCATTTTAGAAGGGGTCCGCTTGCCCTGCTACTCCATGACTGAGCTCATTGACATGTACGACTTATGTAAACCTCTCTGCCTAAGTTATCATTTTCCTATTGCAACTATCCTCTTTTTTTTTCTGTACCCCGGCTTGATATGTATGTTTGTATCACCCGGAGCTATATGTACCTGCACGTTTCAAACACCAATCAGCCTAGCTAAAGATAAGGTGCATAGGTGATGTTCGGTCCTAGAGATCATCATTAAAATAGAGTAAATTCCATGTGTCTATCGTCAACCTCATGATGTGGATTCCAGTGTGTATTGCCGGTGATGATTGATGCCCGCATTGAAGCAAGTCATCAGTCCATTGTGGATCGAAAGCTCCATCTTGCATAGGAAACACTCAGGGAGCTAGGTTCTATCTAGACTATAATAGCAAGCAGAAATGTGGAAATCGACCACAACTCTCAATTTAGATCTCTAGATCCAATCATCCAGTGGATGCTCCAATTTAGACATTCCGCAGAATACGGTGCCGCCCAAGAACAAACATATGATCAGGGAAAGAACCCAAGAAACTCATGCTTTGATGATTACATATTGATATATTGTACAAAATCTAATCCTGATAAATGCAATAAAGAGTTCCTATGACAGCCAAGACTCTAGTCGTTTCATTTCGACTCCTGGCTGATTCGTGACACGACCGATTTGGTGAATGGCAGTGGTGCGTTTGGGGTCATGAGCCTCCAGGAGAGAGATGACTTTGGAGACGGACTCTTTGGCGACGATGAGAACCATTCCGATTCCACAGTTGAACGTCCGACACATCTCGAGCGGAGCAATGTTGCACTGATTCATGGCCCATTTGAATGGAGCCGGGAGCGGGAAGGATCCGGCATCGATTTCACATCCCAGTCCAGCCGGCAAGACCCGGGGGACGTTTTCTAGGAATCCGCCGCCGGTAATGTGACTGAGTCCTTTAACCAAACGTTCTTCGGATTTCAGAATTGGTAAAAGCTGCTGGGTATATAACCGGGTCGGTTCCAGAAGAGCGACTCCAAGCGTTTGGTCGGGGTTCCAGGGACACGGTGATTCATAGCCCAAGCCCGACATTTCAACAACCTTGCGGACCAAAGAAAATCCATTGGAATGGAACCCGCTGGAAGTCAACCCGATCAAGACATCATCGACTTGAATCTCCTGCAGCCGAGGTAGAATGAGGGATCGCTCTACCACCCCCACAGCAAACCCAGCCAAATCATAGTCGTCTAAATGTAACAAAGAAATTACAAATGATAAGTAATCGGTGGTGATTAGTTTTGTCCTAGTTTGGTTGACATACCTTGACGATAAAGGCCCGGCATTTCAGCCGTTTCGCCACCAATCAAAGCACAATTAGATTGTTGACAGCCCTGGGCTATCCCCTTGACCACATCTACAGCCATGTCAACGTTGAGACGACTGCAAGCGAAATAGTCGAGGAAAAAGAGCGGTTCCGCTCCCTGGACCAACAAGTCATTCACACTCATCGCCACTAGATCGATCCCTGTGTGTGAAAGTTTAGAGCGACTGTTAGGGTGGCCAAGCTTCAAAATGTGGATCCAAGGGAAGCATATGGGAAAATTTTGGGGGAAATGGCATGAGAAACCGAGGGGCAACTTACCAACTGTCTCGTGCTTCCCAGCTTTCTGTGCAACAATGAGTTTGGTACCAACGCCATCGGTACCACTGACTATTACAGGATCACGATAACCGAGACTTTTCAAGTCAAAAAGTCCGCCGAACCCGCCAATCACCGAATCGCATCCCAGCCGGGCGGTGGCCTTGACCAAGGGTTTGATCCGCGTCACAAGCTCGTTACCAGAATCGATCGAAACGCCGGAGTCCAGATAAGTGAGGCCGTTCTTCTTCTGATCCGGCTGAGATGACGAGGCGTTTTTTGGCTTGAGGGCCCTGGAGAAACGGTAGAAAGGACGTTATATTCAGTAGACAATTATCCAACAAGTCCACTTTGCAGGGGCTGCTAACCTGTGTGCAATATCCTTACGATAAGTCATTCCATCAAATTGAACACAAGCGACTGCCTCGTAGGCCGTTTTCGCCGCAATCTCTAGCGTCTCGCCTGTTCCGTTGACCGACAAGACCCTACCTCCTGAGGTACAAACGTCACCATGCTCCCCGCTAGTTCCCGCGTGGTATATGAAAGAATTCTTGGGCAAAGCGGCATGGTCGATGGTGATTGGCAAACCTGTGCGGTACGAGTTGGGGTAACCTGGTGATGCAATGACCACAGTAACAGAATATGAAGCTTTGAAATCCACTTTGACCGAATCCAGTCGGCGATCACAACAAGCCTGAAGAATTTGGCAATCAATATCATCCCAGGAATCATCAATGAAAAAAAAAATGACTAACCAAAAAAATTTCAGCCAGATCTGTGTCGTCTGAAAGTAAACTCATCACGGTCTGGGTTTCTGGATCTCCGAACCGGACATTATACTCCAGAACTTTGGGGCCTTGCTCAGTAATCATGAAACCGGTGAATAGACACCCAACAAAGGGCATGCCTGTAAAAAGAAAATCACATGTGGGTTAATGGTCACAAGGCATGTCTATGCAACCATGAAGGGTTTGAGCTAACCGTCTTTGCGCATTCCATCGATGGTTTTTTGGATGATTGACTTCAAGGCTGATTTTATATGCTCGGGGGAACCTATAGGTGTGGGTGCATATGCCCCCATCCCCCCGGTGTTTGGTCCTGTATCGCCCTCTCCAATGCGTTTATGATCTTGGGCTCCGGGGAACAGAACGACAGTATAACCATCGCTGAGGGCCAACACACTGATTTCCTGACCCTCCAGATATTCCTCAATCACGACCTCATCACCTGAGCTTCCGAATTTCTTCTTGACCATAATAGTTTCTAGGGCCTCCAGGGCTTCTTGTTGATTTTCGGGGATAAGGACACCTTTCCCAGAGGCCAAGCCGCTAGCTTTGATGACCACTTTGTAATCAATTGAGAGGAGGTGCTTCTTGGCTAGCTCGAAATCGGAAAAGTTGGCATATCGCGCGGTAGGGATGTCGTGCTTGGTCATAAAGTCTTTGGAAAACGCCTTAGATCCTTCCATTTTTGATGCTAATTCACTTGGGCCGAAACATGGTACCCCAATCTTGCGAAAGAGACCTTCTATTCCATTGATTAAATCTTGTTCCGGTCCCGGAACTACTAAATCTATCTACTTCCGCCATTCGTAGAATCGTCTTGATTAATACACAATTGCGAAAATCGATTGAAGGAAGAGATGAATTTCAGGGAACTGACCTCTTCGTCTTGTGCAAAATTAATCAGTTCGTCATACGATTCGTATTCTTCCAAGTTTGCACACTTCGGGTTCTCTTGCGAACCTCCGTTACCTGTGTCCGTTTTTGAATAGATAAGTTATGAGGAAAACAGAAAGCTCCAGATCCCATGATGTCCTGGGCCGAGGAGGGATAAAACGAGAACTTACCGGGTGCAAGGTAGATCTTGGTGACATTGTCAGACTTGGCTAGTCGTTCTGCCAATGCATGCTCTCGTCCACCCGAGCCGATAACTAGGACCTTCATGTCAAGATGTCGTAATTTGTTTCTTCTGGGGAATCCGCGGGGTATGAACGAATGTCGATAAAATGTCGATATATGCGGGTATGGACCAAGTCTCGGGATGGCCAACTCTTGCCCAAAATTGTCGCCGGCAACCGGGTGGTCAGCGTGTGGGTTGCGGGTAATAGTTTGTGGGCTGCGGCTGCGGGAGGGTTCAGAATGAATATGCAAAAGGGGCTTGCAACCAGACTCAAAACAAACAAGATAGTCCCAAGCTGGATCTTTGTCGCGGGGGTCCCGGTACAGAACTGGCTCTCTCCCTTGAGATCTGCCTGAAAAGTTCCATTGGGAGTTGCGCCCTTGGAAGGAGAGCCCGTGGCTTAACATTCAAGCGACGTTTGCCCCGAGTCCTCGGTGGCCGGTTTTGGGCTCTGTTGTGGAACTTTGTTTCTTTGTAGAAGACCGTTTGGCCCGGAGGAAGCCCAGCGAGCTGTATAGCCGATGAAGCAACAGCTCACCCGGAGGTCTGAGCCGGCTGAAGCTTTGCCTCGGAGAGCGGGTACAAGATCAGCCCGCCAAGAGCCCCCGGCAAGCTAGCGCTATAGCGACCAGCTGGCTGGTCTTCTTCGGTGAATTGCTACCCAACTCATGTCCGCCGAGAGCCTCTGGCGAGCTGGCACAGTAATCCAGCTTCCCGAGGAGCCGCAGGAGGCCCGGGCCTAACACAAGCCTCGCTGGTGAGAGCCCGGAGGGCAGTCCCGCAGGGTCTCTCGAGCTTAACACAAGCCTCGCTGGTGAGAGCCCGGAGGGCAGAATTATGTAGCCCAAAAGGGCAGGAGTAGAGCTTGAATCTGACCCATCGGCGGAAGATTTGGCTCAATGGGTCAGGATTTGGCACAGGTGCAAAGATTTTCACCACCAAAAAGTGCAGAAACGCCTCTCAGGATCCACGGGAGGAGGGGGACTTGAGGCACAAGTCCCTCCCTGCGGTCGGCGCAATGCGACAGTGGCGAGGCCACTCGCATGCCAACGCCGCCTACAGCAGGGAATCGGGACTTGCGTTAAGTTCGCAGGAGGCCTGGTAAGCCAAATGGTTCCCAGTACAAGTGTGTAGATAGAGTGAGTCTTGCGTTCAACCAAGTGTGTAAAACATGGTGCCAGTAGCCAGAGCTACATAGCTGCCGGTAGCCACGGTAGCGGCCGCTGCCAATAGCCACCGGGAGCGGCCGCCGCCGGTGCATCTCCAGAATTCCCACACTAAAAAATATTTAGAGTTTTTCTTTTGTTGGAACTTTTTTTTTTTTGATGCAAAACCGCAAGCATACTTAGAACTGCTGTGAGCCGGACGAGGACATCCAATAAGCTGTAGGCCTTGCTTGGCTTGCCCACGGCCTGACATTCTCCAGACAGGCGCTAAGAAAAGACCAAGGGCCAAGCACAATGGCGTATGTATGGCATTGGAACCGAGCCTGTCCTGAGAAGAGGCCACGCATTCACGCCAAAAATATGCTTGCTTGGGACTCAGTCCAAACAATTTCTTATTTAAAAAAAGCATGAGACTGATAGGTTGAAAAAAAAAGAGAAAGTGACATCACAAGTTGATAAGCCAGCACCCATCAGTGTGTCGGTTGAACACTGTTTGTACATAGCACTACAAGAAAAAGTCAAGCAACTGTTAGCAGTTGACATGCAGCAAGCTTCAATCAAACCTCAATGCAAGCTGAGATCATTGCGCTGATGTAATTTGGTGGTACAACCCTGAAACTTCAAAGGGGTGGACCAGAACAAGGTACAACAAAAGTGTGAGTTCAACTCAAGCTCAGTGCAGAGTATGTTCTGAGCTCTTGCATGTCAACTAGGGTTGACGGCGCCACCTTTTTGATAGGTGCGCGCCTAGGGGCGCCGGCCAGACTGCCAAAGCATGGCGCCTTTGGCTCGCAGCGCCCCGGCGAGCTGGGCGCCGCCTATGAAGCTCTTTTTATCCATTTTTTTGGTTTGCCTGAGTATCCACCAGATGATGCCTGAAGCCCTCAGGGCCATCATCCTTCAGTAGAGGGCCGAAAGATCCAAGTTCCAGGCTAGACTGACTTGTAAATCTCAGCTCTTGCTCCTCATGGCCATTGGCGGCACCCCCTCTGCTCCAAGGTGCCGACCCAATACTGGGCCTTTGCTTGCGCTGACGGGACATTCAAACTGTGAGATTATGCAGATGCCAAACTACATATGTACTATGTAATTTCAAATAATTAAACTTAAAAATTGCAAATCCATAATTAAAAAATTAAAGTTGAAATTATAAATCCATAAAAAATCCTAAAAAGGGGGGTAAACGTCAGGTGCGCACCAACCCCCATTTTTGAAAACATCGGGGACCCGGGGGCGCGCACAGGGGGCGGGCGCACTTCGGCGCGCCCCACCCTATGGCGCCGTCAACCCTAATGTCAACTGACACCAGTTGCTTGACTTTTTCTTGTAGTGTAGTCCTTGGGTTGGTTGGAGCAACAACAGCACCTATCAGAGCAATGATTGTTGATCAATGTCACTTGGTGTCCGGCTACCCAGATTGCGTTTTTCCAGGTGAACAAGTCGGAGACTACTGCAGATCAAAGAGCCTTTACAGCTGGCTACTTTCTCTTTTGTCGACAAAATACTTTGCAATTTGAGTCAAACAAAACTTACAACCAAAACAAACAAAAACATATAAAAGGAGCATTGGTAGATGAAGAAAAGTGAACAAGAAAAAACATAGGTTTTTTTTTTCAAAAAAGAAAAAAAATAGAAGAGTCCTAATTAAAAAATAAACATGACTTCGACAAAGACGATCGACAAAGAGACCAAACTAAGGACAAGAACGGGCAAAAGGTTCCAGCCAAGGAAGTCGCGATTGCGGATCAAGATGGATTTTTGCTGGAGGATTTGGTGCCACAACAAGCCGGCCAAGGAGGAGGGAATGGTGAGACTGAACGCGCCGATGTTCGAGGACATGGCGGTGGCGAAGATGGCCGATCTGAGGATCCTCGGGTCTTCTACCACCCGCTCATTTAATCGGAACTGGCGATCTGAAATCACATTTACCATTAATATCGTCGCTCCAATATTTGCTGTTTTGTTTTGGAAAATTCGGTGTTAGATCCAACAATGAAAAACATGCAAGGCAGGCAGGCAAACAAAAAAGTTAGTTATGTACTAGTTGAAAAATGGTGATGATGAAAGGATTGACGCGACGCACTACCCATAAAAGGACACAAGACCATACTACCCAACAAGCCGACGACATAGACCGCGCGAGCCGGAGAAGTACACACGGACGCGAGCCACCGCGCGAACACGGTGACCCACCCCAAATGACTCAACGAGCTGATCAAGATAAACATCGCCATCGCGAACGGCAACAAAGGCAGCGGTAAATGCGCGATTGTTCTGGAGGTGCATGGAAACCGTCGGGCTAGTCGGGACGCGAAGCTAGCTAGATTCCACTTTCCGACTGGCTGTACTGTTGGAAGTTTGGTTGGAGCGCTGTGGAACCAGAAAAGTTAAGGGATTTAAGGCATCCCATCCAGATCGTTAGTCAATCACATCAAAACGAGGGAATATCGTGATCGAAAGGGGAATTGAAGCAAGAGAAAATGGATCAAGCTGACGAGGAGAGAGTTGCAATATCATTTGGGTGAGTAAGTTGATCAATTGACCGCTTAGCATTCCCCGCTAAATGAAGAGGGGCAGGCCGGATGGGCTCCGCGATCGACATAGGCGGGTCGACGTCCTTTCCCAACAGACCATGATCACCATCAACATTTTCGTCAATTTTTGACGAGTCTTGTACAGGTGGAACGGGACCAAGATCGGATTCAAGTTCGTGTTCTTCGGTGAGGCTGGATTTGCGGTTTTGGGAGCGTATGTCCCACATGATGTCCCGGATGAGGGCCAAGATCCCCGCAGGCATAGTCACATGCCAGACCGAGGCCGTCTTGATGAACGTGATCCCAACCAAGAGCAGTAACGTAGTGATCATCAACGTCCCATGGAAAAATGCGCCTTGAGGGTCAACTAGCACCGAGCGTGGATTCACGATCGGTTGGTTCAATTTGTCGGGGATGTAGTTGGCTCGCGGAATCGAGTTGTACAAGGTTTTCGGAAACTGGAAAATCCGGGTCACGCTGAATGAGGCGAAATTCCGTTTGACGCGTTTTGAAGATTCGCTGCTTTGGAAATTCGGGTCTTTTTCCGGAGGAGGTGATGAGCTGATGTGAGTGTCGCTGATGGTAAGCGATTTGAACAGAGTATACAACAATACGTATCCCACAATGGCCGAAACTAGCGAAGGAATGATGGTGAATTTTGTAAAGCCCCTGTCGTTGTCGCAAGACATTAGCCAGGAAGACACGTCAAGGTAACAATCATTATAAGTGAGAAAAAAAAGGATGAGGACGTGCATAAATTTTTGAATGATGAATAAAAAACGGCCAACGTACGTCAAAAAGTTTAAGTCAAATGCTTGGGCGAGTAGAACATTAGTAGGGTTACTACTTACCAAGACAGCACTAGCGACGTTGGAAGCAACAAACTCCATGAAGATCCAAGCCGTCGGATTGGTGATCCCACAATGCTTCAAGAAATAAGTAAGAAATGCAGTGCCGGAGAGGATGATCGGATCGTTGCCAAAGATCACTCCAAACACAAAGAAGAAACAGTATAAGACAAAGTAGAGCTTTGGCCCGGAGCCGCTGGTGTGGTTGGAGACCAGGAATGCCAGACTGCGCAAAGCGCCGGTTGAATCTAATGCAGTCGCGATATACGCCTGGCGTAGCAGAGCCAACAAAAGACCGACCGGAAAATGTTTTGTTTTGTAAGTAATTGAGTAACTTGATAAAGTGAGCAGTGTGAGTATGATGATCTGCATGACTCACAAGAGAGATAAACAGGACGAGTACATCGTAAGGTTTGCTATCGCCCTCGCCGACGATTCCGCTCCGGATTACAGCCCCATTGATCGTCGTCGTCGCGAGCAGCACCAGTACTGCGATCGGGGGTGAGGTGGTTAGGTTCAAGACGAGCTGCCAGTTTGCTTGATCGGGCGAGTTGGGAGGTTTTGTGGTTGCAGTGGCAGCTTGAGAATCTGAGGAGTCTGAGGGGGCTTCAATCAATCGACACCGTATGGCCAGCTTCTTCAATACGCGAGTAAATGACTCTCCCAGTCCTATCCGAATGGGATACAAGACCGGGACCACTAGATCAGAATAAAAGAAATAGTTAACTTTTGACTGGTTCCCGCTACGAAAGAAGGAATGCACTACTGACTAGCTAGAAGAACCACGATGAGGCCGAATATACTGAATCCATCTAATGACCGAACTTGTTCCTCGGCCATCTTTCGAAATTATTCGGGTTGACCTTCAAAACTAAAAAATTAAATTGATCAAAAGTCTCGAGTCAGCAAGGGCCCCTGTGGTAGAAGATTAATGGGCAAGTACACGAACGGTACTTGTGAATAGATTTTCCCAGAGGACTCTGCTCCTCTTCACATTACCACTCGACGGTAGAGTACAAAATGCCGAAGGTGTAGTGACAGCCTGAGAGTCGAGACAGATAGATATGTGTACCGCTGGGAGGCTCAATTTCGCTTAAGAATATACCTTCGAGGCTCTGGGTGAGTGCTTATCCGTAATCTGAGCTGGAAGGTGAGCCTAGAATCAAGCCTACAACGAAAGGAAATCGTAGCATATATTTATTTAAATATTCCTGTTCTGGACCGATCCAGATTCTCGATCTGGAGATTCGAATGTAAATCAGCCGTATAATTTGCAGGGGCTCGGATGGACACAAATCGCTAATGGGCTGTGCAGGAATAGAGCAGGCCAGACTCAGAGAAAGGGTTCGGATGATCACCTAAGCCCCATCAATCATCTTGAGAATGTTTGCTGACTCATGCCCTGCTGTCATCACCTATGTTCATCTACAATTTCGCAGTCACCAATGTTTAGTGGTTAATAGAGCACCCAAGGCATGGATGATCGAGCATGGGGAGAAACAAAAGTCAATCGACACAAAGAGAGAACACAGATTGTTCCACACATAACTGTAACCCATGCTCTCGCTCAGTCTCGCTCTCTATATTTGTTGATGTGTGAAATCACACAACGATGTAGATATTCTTTTGTGATTTTTCGGTGGGGTAGAGAGCAAAAATAAAGGGAAGCATCAAGTAAACTAAGTTTAAAAAAAGGAATAGATGCATTTGAATTTCGTAAGGATTCTCATAATAAAGAGAGGGAGAGGAAGAGGGAGAGAGGATGGAAGAGAAGATCCAGAAGACTAGATACATTTTTTTCTTCTAGAGTTTGTCATAGTAGTTATCTAGAGCTGGGATCTCGATCTTCAGACCTTTACGTTTCCTGATATCGTGAACCAATTGTTCAAGCTTGCTACCCTTCTCGAGGGGGGTACCAGCCATCAGTTGCCAGTGATCAAACACCTGAGAAAAGACAATGAGAAGAGAAGGAGTTAGTGTGACATATGAGACCGACGATGCGACGACAGCTCTTACCATCTGTGGGAAGGCTTGTCCGGAGGTAGCTTGTCGGAGCTCTCCGTTGAATCCGAACGATTCAGATACCGGCAAGTAGGCCTACGGAGTTTGAAAAGAACAAGTAAGCAAAGGTGGAGAGGTAATGGTCTCCGAAGAAAAAACCTTGGTGAATTAGAAAGACTCGCCTTGACGGTGTACATGGGGGTACCGACTCTCTGTTCTTCAGAGAACACATGTCCTCGCTTCTTGTTCAAGACGGAGTAAATACCACCCAAAGCGTTCTCAGGGGTTTGCATCTCCACCATGTACATGGGCTCTTGAAGACCAGGGTTGGCAAGCAGAGCAGCAGCGTAAACAACACGTCGACAGGTTGGGATGATCTGACCACCACCACGATGAATAGCATCAGTGTGGAGAGTCACATCGAGACTGTTCAAGGAAGTGGAAAACATAGGCAATTAGTCAATAGATTTTGATGAGGATTTTTCATCGGATGGAGTAGCTTACATGTTATATCTGGTTCCTCGCATGTTTTCTTCGGCACAAGGACCTTCCTTGGCCGCCCATTGGAAGGCAGCAACACACGAATCCTTGATTTCACTGAGGTATTGGACTCCCTTGGTGGTATCGACCAAGAAGTTGGGACCGCTTCCATCAGGGGCAAACGCCCAGATCTTTCGGGCATCGGTGACATCCCATCCGTACTCATCGGCTAGAAGACGAGCACGGAGCTTGAAATCATCACGGGGGCCAACCTTGCCCTCCTCAACAGCCTTGGAAAGCTCTTCCTCAATCGGTTGAGCCTTAACGTACAGTCGGTTGTGCTTGTTTTGGGACTTGGACAAGGCAACGATCGAAGATTCGGTTTGGACGGTCTCTCTGTATCCGACGACGGGGTCAGAAATCTTAAGAGGGACTTGGGCGTGGTCATCTTGTAAATCCTTGAGACAGATTTCAAGATGAAGTTCACCAGCACCGGCGACGATGTGCTCTCCGGTCTCAGCAATCCAGGTTTGTACACAAGGATCAGACTTCGATAGTCGCTTGAGACCTTCGACAAGTTTTGGCAGATCGTTGGCGTTCTTGACCTCCACAGCGACTTGGACGACGGGAGAGACGGAGAATTTCATGACCTGATACAGAATAAACAATGATCAACAACGAAAATAGAAGCGATAAAAGCAAGGATCTCATGCTGACCTTCATGTTGTGAGCGGTCTCAGAGGTAGTGAGGGTTCCAGACTTGAGCAAGAATTGATCAACACCGACCAAGCCGATGATGTTACCGGCCGGGCAATCCTCGATGGCTTCAACACGACCACCCATCATCAAAACAGTTCGTTGGATAGATTTGATGAACAAGTCTTCCTTCTTGCCGGGGGTGTAGTTAGGCCCTTGAATTCGGATCTTTGGTCCGGCTTTGACGGTTCCAGAGAAGACACGTCCGAAGGCGTAGAATCGCCCTTTATCGGTGGTCGGTACCATCTTGGAAACGTACAACATCAATGGTCCGTTCGGGTCACAATCACGGATTCCAAGGGCAGCCTCGTCATCCATAGGACCTTCGTACAAGGTCTCGACTCGGTATTTCTGGGCGGTGATCGGGGATGGAAGATGGATACAGATCATGTCCAATAGGGAGTCACCGGCGGGAAGGAACTTCCGCATGATGATCTTCAACAGGGCCTTTCCTTCGGTATCTCTCTCCTCTGAGGTGAGCTTGACTTCAAGCTTGTCAATCAAGGTCATGGCTTGATCTTTCTTGAAGTTCATGACTGAATCGAAGATCTAGTCACAAATGAAACACCCGCACCAGTCAGTGGGTCATCTCGGATGGGAGGAGGAATAGTGGGATGGACACGCTTACCTTGAAGATGGGCTCGAGCACAAACATGTTGAAGGCACGCTCAAGAGTGTTTCCATCAGCATCGATGGCGTTCTTAACCCATTTTTTGGTCTTGGGGTTGAAGTAGTTGTCACCCCAGAGACGACCCATCATCTTGTCGGCGTCAACACCAAACTTCTTGGAGTAACGTTTGGCGAATTGTCTGAGGGAGAAAGCCCAACCGTGGAGACCGGAACCAAAGGCGACGGTACCCTTTTCGGGGTAAACCTGGACATCACCGAGGGTTTTGTCGTTGTAGGTGGAGATGATGACGTTGACACTCTCAACAGTTCGACAGAACGATTGGTACAAGTCTTCCTTAGAAACTTGAAGTTCCAAGAGAGCTCGGTCGACCTTGTTGATGATCACAACAGGCTTGATACGCTCAGTGAGGGCTTGACGAAGTACCGTCTCAGTCTGTACACAGACTCCCTCAACACAATCAACGACGACCAAGGCACCGTCGGTGACACGGAGAGCGGCAGTGACTTCGGATGAGAAATCAACGTGTCCGGGTGAGTCGATCAAGTTGATCAAGAATTCGGTACCTAGATGCAGAGCAACGATTTCTGAGTCAGATACAAGCTACATGAGAGATTGAGAATCACTGGGTACCATACCATCGGTAGCTTGTTTGATATCGGCCAAGTCCTCCTTTTCGAGCTCAAAGAACATGGAAATGGCAGTAGATTTGATGGTGATACCTCGTTCTTGTTCATCAGCACGGGTATCGGTAGCACGAGCCTCTCCGGCACGGGCACTGGCGATAATACCGGCCTTGGACAGAAGCGAGTCGGTCAAAGTCGATTTTCCGTGATCGACGTGAGCAATAACTGGAGAAGAAAAAAAAACAATTGGGTGTGAGTGTCAAGCAGGCTTTTTATCAACACTGGGCCATGAGCTCGACGAACCGGACATGTTCCGGACACTGAGTTAACAAAAATACTCCACTTGTCAGCGATGGAGGCCAGCGGGTGTAAAAATAATAATAATAAAAAACTAACTTGGCCCGCTTGTTCATAAGTCCTCGGACTTGGTCGACGGTAAAGTTCACCATCTTGGATAATCTAAAAAAAAATCCAAGTGGATAATCTAATCAGTGATCTGGTCGGTGACTGAAAGACATCTATCTGCATTGGATCTGATGCCAGTTTCTTGTGTGGTCATTGAGAGAAACCCGCAAGCTGCCGATTGCGTAGGAAATACAGCAATACGATCAATACATCTTATAAGGCGATGGATGATTAGGGCAAGCCTGGTTGGTTAGCCGGCCAGCAGACTGGACTGGGGTCAGCGGACATCAAGTGGGTGATCAACTGCGGGGAGATTGGATATGGACGAGGTCGATCAGATGGTTTTGTTAATTTTGATTTTTTGCACTCACTCTTTCTAGGGTTGGTCGTTCGTTGAGGAGTGAGATGGGGATGGTTCGGTTAATCCGTCAGTGTGTCCTGACTGGTGATGGCGTGGAGGGGAGAGAGGGTGGGAAGAGAAGAACTGGTCGTGAAGGGAGGGAAGGAAGAGCACAGGACAGGAATAACAGCAGGGGAGGACAAGCTGGAGCCGAGAAATGGGAGCATCGGAAACCTAACCCTGTCTGGTTTTTACTGGATTTTGAATTAAATCCAGCGCATAATCCAAATGTCCATAGTAGCACCCTGGGTCTGGTGGACGACGACTCAGGATTCTTCAAGCTGTGGTTTCTTGTTTCTCAATATTTTTTTCCTTGAATTATAACCGCATACCATCACTTGAACTAACCTTTCGCATCAAACTCCGACATGGTAAGAACCTCTCAAAGTTATCAATTTGCTTCTATCTCAACCAATGGGATTGTTCACTAGCTGACTGAAGCATACTTTTACAATACTTTTTGTTCGGTTGATTATGATGATACCAGGCGGATTCATCGTTACTTTTCGACGACTTGTTTACGATAACGAATGTGGATAAAGATGGAAAGAAGTTCGACCGAGTTTCACGATTGAATGCATCCTCGACAAATCATTCGATGACCCTAGTACTAGACTTCAACGTTGAATTATACCCACTCAAAGTTGGAGATTCGTTCGCACTGGCACTCTCTTCAAGTCTGACACCCGAAGGCGAGAAGGATAGCGGGATTGAAACTCAAAGTTGGAGGCTTGAAGAAGGGAAGGGTGGACTAGCCGACGAATATGAATACGTCATGTATGGCAAAGTACGTCCAATCCCACATCTCCGTTGTTCAATACTCTCAATTTTAGACTCAATCACCCCGCTTTCCTCTACGTTAGCTCTACAAATTTGACTCAGGTGCCTCAGATTCTGTGACGGCTTACATCTCATTTGGTGGACTATTGATGGCTCTGACCGGTGATTATCGGTTAGTACCGATTTCGATAGTATAATTCATACGGGGAAAAGAAAGTCCCTTTGACTGTTCACTTTCTGACATATTGGTACTTCCTTACAATCATTCTCATCAGGCATCTCGATCGACTGACGGTCGGACAAATGGTGTTTTTATTGATGAGAAGATAGCCAAAAACAACGAAAAATATTGTTAATGAATGTAGTAATAATGATCAAAAGATAAGCGTAACTAGCCACCGGACACCTGAGAACCCTACCTGGGTACAACTAAAAGATAGACTACCAGCAGACCGCGAAGCCACTGGCAATCTACAGCTCTAAGGGTTTCTTTTCTTGGAATAAGATTGGTTTAATTAAATGTCCTATGATATTGGAGGGCTACAGTTCAATCGTGGAAAGCGGTTGAGAAGCTCAACTCAGACCTAGTAGTAGTCCCCAAAGCCAAACAAGAGACCGGTTTTGGTTACAGCAAAGACTCAATGATGGGTCCACAGAATTTCTTACAATAAACACCCCTTGTCACTTGTCTTGCCAATTCAACCTCAAAAGATTTACTTTTTAAGTGGGTCTCTAAGGGTCTAGATTATCAATGTCATGACCCCCTCCCCATAAGAAAATGCCTGGGAATTGATGAATTCATTATAACCTTGTGGCACCTTGAAAGGTTCAAGTTTGAACAGATGCAGGTCATTTCTGATTTCAATAACACAAGGTGTGATGACAGTTTTGGTATGATCACCCTCTCCAATGAGTCAATGAGCTATAGCTGGATGTCCCCAAATGGCTTTGGTTTGATTCCCATGGAAAATGATATTCAAGTTTATTGACCTTTACTTATGAGGAAACCTCCCTGGGGAAACTGTTTCAGATAGAGCAGTAGATGCTAAAGATTTGATTCTGACTGGGATTTCTTTGCTGGTTACATTTTCTCTGTGACTGATTGCTTTGTTGAGTCAGAGACATCTCATAAATAGGTCCTTAGTTCTGCTCTTCAACATTCCCCTTTTGTCTAGTTGGGTACACAAGCCATTTAGCACTCAGCCCTAATCCACAAGAAAACACTGAGGGCATCTGTTCAAGTCTCACCAAGCACAACTTAAACTTGCTCAACCTTGTGAATGATGTGTTTCATTTGGATGATAGTCTTAATGGCATTGGGACTCCTCTGTGGTATGTCAAGTGCATCCGGCTGGCACGAGGTTGCTAGGCACTCTCGTGGCTGCAAATCTACTGACATCCTCTGGCAAGTAAATAATTCTAATGGGGTTGTAACCTTAATCTGCACTAGCTGTGGTGAGAACAGCACACCAATCCCATTGACACCATGTCTTATATGCAAAAAACGGACAGTTCCAAGTCCTGCCTACACTGACCGTGATTGTCACAAGTGTCAACACAAAGTTGAGCACGGTTACCATGTGTTGGCCTGCAATGGCTGCCCTCATACACTATGTAATTATCAGATACCAAAGGCAACCTGCCCAAATTGTGGAACTCCTCCTCTATCTGATTAAACCAATTGCACCTGGTAAAACTTACATGGCTACCCGCCCATCCAGGTAATAATTGATCACCAGCTGAAGGCAAAGCCAAGACAACTGAGAAACTTCAACATGTTGAGTCTCAGGATTACCTCACCAAATCATCCCAAGTCAAAAAAACATCTTATCAAATTAGAATGCTCCCTCTTCTCCATAATAAAATTAAAACAGAAGAAAAAATTGAAAAAATTGAAAACAGAAAAATTGAAAAAAAAAATGAAAAAAGAAAGAAAGAAAACAAATGGGAAAAAAAGATAGAAAAAATGGGGAAAAATACAGAAAAACCAAAAAAATGAAGAAAATAAAAAAATAAAATAAAAAAGGGGCTTGTTAAATCAATCCCCCAATTTTTGTAAAATCAAACCAATACAGTTAGGCACATCATTCTGCTTGTCTGAAAACACCATTTGCTTCACTTAGGGCAAAATGGTGCTTGATTGGGGAGGGGGGCAGGCATCATAAAGATCACATTTTTGGCATCTACAGACCATGTAGATTCCAAATATGAAGTGACAAGCTGTTTGGCCCAGCCAATTTTCAATTTTTAGTTTTCAAATGGTTCATTTGTGCTAATCACCTAAAAATGCATAAACATGAGGTAGGATGACACCTCTAACCCACAAGTATGGCATAATTAAAATCCATTCAAATGGGATTAAACCATAAAAATGCACATTTGGGGGTCCAATCCAATCTCAAATCCCACCAAATCAACCCAGAAATTAAATCAAATCTTGTCAGCTTGCTAATATGGCAGAGAAAACCTGTCATATCACATAAATAAAATAATTACATCAAAAATCTAATTATAAAGTAAAATAGTACATAAGGAAAAGATGCACTATTACTTATGTAAAATAAGATATAAAAATACCTAAAATAAATGAATAAGTTAAAAATTATAAACAAAACTTTAAATGTTATTGCAGATTCTGAATCTGCATACAATTTAACCTAGGGCACCTCAGCCAGAGGTACCCCTCATTTTAACTCCTTCATCTTGTAATACATATAAACATGAATATTTAACAGGTACCCTTAGATCGCTGGCACTGTGAGACTTATGCATTATGCATAACAAAATTAATATACTCCAAATCCAGCTACGGAATTGGAGTGTGGTGTATGGTCTAGAAGATAGAGCAGTGTGGCATGTACTGTCTCCAAGCCTGCGCACCACGTAGTCATGCTGCACATTGTTGATAGGCGCATCTGACTACAATTGAGCCCAATGCTCAATCCCCAGAGCGTGCTAGGTATGCATAGCTACCTTGAATAGTTGCATAACCCCTGCCTAGGTTACCAGTATCCAAGAAATGGGCCACAAAGCCCCAGAATCCCCCATTGCACGTGGCCACACAGCCCCCACACATGTAATATAATAAAAATATAAACAAGCCAGAATATTCATGAAAATGATACATATACTCAGAATATTCCATATTCCAATTGGTTAAACGTGTAGCAAGCCTCAGAAACCAGCTCTGGAATATTCTGTGGCCCATTTCCAAGGAAATAGCTCCACACAACAGAGTACTCCTATCCACAGGCTCCCATTGGACATTCTTGGATTTAATAATTTTGTGCATGGCTCCTTCGAACTTCTAGAATATTATTCCCAAGGATTTAGCCCTTGTAGTGTCACTATGTGGGCCCAAAACCGCTCCCAAGTCCTACTACGCTCCCCTGGGCAACCCCTGAGGCCTTCCACAGGTATTTAAAGGGCCTTCTGAACGCCCAAATAATTATCCCCCAGCTTTAAAATACAATACAGAAACATACTTACCCACTTGCAAGTTCCCTACATTTGTAATCAGCCTAGTTATTACTTTATTTGCTGTTATTAGAGATCGTTCATTTGGACCTGTTGAGGGGTACCTGCCACACTTCAGATCAAGCCCTCCAAATCAACAGCCACCATTTAAGACATGTAAAAAAGTATGGTAAAATTCATTTTGCATCAAAATGATAACTACATCTTGTATACTGCATTTGACACTGTTTTTTTATTTAATTCTTCACTTTTTCATTCAATTGTTTGCATTAATTTTTTTACCTTATTTTTTATGCTTTTTTGAAATTTTAAAGCTGTTTCCTAAATTCAAAAGTGTTTAGAATTTAATGGTAGCATCCAGGACATCAAGAGAGAACTACATGCATATTCACATGAAATGAAGAATGAATGAAAAAGAAGTGACATAGAGGTGAAATTCCAAGCTTGACAACAATGGTTTGGCCAGTGGTGTAAATTTCACCACAGAGAGACAAATTTTGGGACAGAAGAAGAGATGAATATTGAATATGGGAGGAGGAAACAAGTCACAGATGTAAAAAAAGGGAACTGAGAGACTGTCAGATTCCAACAAACACCATTCCAAATTCAATGGGGTCTATATATATTGATCTATAGGGAGTGTTTTGGTGAGAAAGTATAATTCACATTTTAGAAAATGAAATTTTTCAGTGTTGAGGGAAATACACCTGGTGAATTTGATAGAGACAAGTTGCACTCAAGGAAAGAATTTTTGGGAAAATTCAGTCAAAGGGGAATATAAATCTTGAAACAATTTCCAACAAGAACAAATAAGGATCAGGTTTGGAATTTCTCAATTTCTTCTTGATGAATTTTCATTGTTCAACTTCTGCTTTTTTATAAAGGGGAACTGCTGAGTTGGTACAAGCATAAATACAGGGTGAGAGAATTAGTTGAGTATTTTTTTGGAGGTTCAACCTGTTTAAAATCCAAAGTTGATGCCTTGTTTGAGAAATCTACACACCTTGGCCTTTAACTATTACCACATGAAAGGGATGTAGAATGGTAAATTCCACAGCCCGAACACCACTCCCAGTTATCACTTCCAATATAGCGGGAAATGGTGTAATTGATTTGCAACATCAATACAATTAGGGTAATCAAGGCAGTGAAAGTGTTTCTCATTGTAATGATTTTTTCAAAGTAATTTGTTTAGTTTTAAAATATGTTGATCCCTAAATCAGAATGAATTTGGAACTATTGAGGAATTTAATATTCAGCAATTTGATATATCTCATCCACACAATCTGGCTAAATAGACCAGTGGAATATATATAGATAAAATACAGTGAATGGAATTAAAATGAATTACCTGATGATTCTATTCAAGCCAGCAAGTATAATGTTGGGCAAAGGAGTTCTCAGATTTCCTGTGGAACATAAAATTGTTTTAGTAGGGGTGTCTTATATAGACATTCTAGCATCTGGAAATAACCATTCTCAATTGTGGGTACATGTCTGTTCATCAGATGTGCTGCCCCATGCATCACCAGACTTCCAAAGTGCCATATACATACCAAACCCATTGATTGTTGCCAGATTGTATCAGAAAGACGTGTTGATATGAATGAATCAGTAGAAAAACTAGGAGTATGTGCCAGAACAATCCTGCTTCAGGCACATGGGTGTTTGAGCTCATTATGTAAAATTATATGTGTAAGATTGGACATGGCTGACTTGAGTATCACGACTAAAAATCATGATTCTCTCAACTAAAGCATGTTTCTCACATAAAAATGGTCTCTTTTGACTTTCTTGTGTGTACATAATGTGTAGTATCAATAAGTATGTATTAATATACACATTATGCTTTTACTTAATGAAATCCTTAAATGGGGCTTCTAATCATCACTTATTGAAAATGAAGGGCCAGTTTCTCTGTGGCAGTGACCCTCCTAAGGCAATACAGTTATTGTTTGCCTGCCAATGGCATAGCATATCACATAAATCACTGATAAAAACAAGGTCAAGTATTTGCAGAGATTACTAATAAGGGGAAGAATTTTCCCAACACCTTCTTGGATGGAGTGTTCAAAGCTTGATTGGTTTGGATAATTCTGAAAAATGAACCTCTGGAAGAAATGACTTAGTAAACCTGAATGCAGATTACATAAGCAAAATACAGCCAAGAATGTTGTGGTAGGGCACTACCTGGTCTGAACAGCAGACCTTGTAATACCTCCAAACAGGATATTTGTTACAGCTTTTATGAATGACTCACCGAGGGGACCCAACGGACATCCAAGCAAATCAAACCTGTTTGATTACATATTGCAAGAGTGTGTTACAAAATTGATAGGTGAAATATCAATTAAATGTGTCCTTGAAATGGGCCCTTGGCCAGGAGTTGATGCTTGCATTAAATTAATAGAAGGCTGTGTCAAGCAGCACACATGAAATTATCAAAGATTACATAATGCAAGAATTATAGAGATGCCCCACTTTGAATCTTTTGTCAAGTCCTTTTTGCACCAAAAAATACATAATTGTATCAAAATGTTGAAATCACTTGTTGAAAGTAGTTAGTCAATTTCAAAAAAATAAAGACATTAAACCTGTTTGAGAAAAAAAATCTGAGGGAATCTTATAAATTAGAAAACATTTATAAGATAAATGCTTCAAAAGGGGGATACAGATTAGATACAGGTTGGATTGAGTGAGTTTAGGCAAGAGATAAGTGAAGGCACCTCTATAAAAGTTCAACATTTTTTTCCTGGTGATCTAAATTTATCATTGTTAATTTATAAAGACCCAAACTTACTTTCATTTTAGAAGTCAAGATGTTTTTTTTTAAGTAATAAGCAAATGGACAAAATAAGGAGTATCTTGAATGGTGCCATCTATATGTAGAAAAAAAATGAAAAACTTGACAATGAAAAATGAGTCATATCCCTAACTTGAAACAATTCCATTGACTAGCTCAAAGCTTGATTAGTAATCATAGCACAAAGAAAAGCTTGACTGCGCAAGCAAACCAACTACGTAGGAATAGAGACCATTTGGACTTGTATTGAGGATAATTAGAAATTAAGATACCAACAACACTGAAACTAGAGATTGTTTGTTTGTACTTGGGTACCTGTTCAATTTTTTAAGAAAATAGGTACCATGTACTGCACGTGGCACCACCTGATGGGTACTGTCTGTAATTTTGGTGGGTACTGGCAGTACTTGCCCTTTTTTTGACTATCATCTTATTTTAAAAACAT